AAACTGGACCCCTTTTCCATTGATGGTGGTGGAGTTAATGGAAAAACAGTTTGGTGGTTCCTCAAAAAAGTAAATGTAGAATTATGATATAACCTAACAGTTTCAATCCTAGGTATACACCCAAAAAACTGAGTAGAAATGCAAACAGATACGTTAACACCATTGCTCACTCTTCCACTAGTCACAATAACCAAAAGGTGTAAACAGTCTAAATGTCTACCAAAAGATGAATGGATACACAAATTATGATACGCACATACAATGAAATATTATTCAGCTAAGAAGAGAATTTAAGTTTTCATCAGGGCTCTGAACTGGTTCAGTCATGGCTAACAAAGAAAAATTGGAAAAGACCCAAAATTAAAAAAAATTTTTTTAAAATATAGGTTTTCTTGGATTGATAATGGAACAGATAAAAATTACAGGTTGAAACTGAGTTGGGTGGAAGACCCAGAAGAGTAGTGAGCCCTTTCCAGAGCCTGATGCCTGAGATTGAATAACTAGCAGGACTGTGAAGGATGACACACATTCAACATGGTACCGTTGGCTGTCATCTTTTGAGTGGGGCACTACTGTGTCCAAGACTGCTCAAATTCTGACAGTCAAAAGATTTGGTGGCTATGCAGTGTGTTTTGTCATTGTTGTTGAGTAGGGTCCAACTCACAGCGACCCTGTATAGGGTTTCCAAGGAGTGGATAGCGAGTTTGAACCACTGACCGTGTGGTTCAAAGCAAGCTTGCGGTCCAGTCTTTTATCCCACAGTGCCACACCAAGACTCAGCCCATATTTAATGAGATGATTAAGTTCTAGCAGGGCTTTGACCTGTACTTTTTCCCATTCTTGTTATCATTCCATTGTACCCACATTTTAAAACCTTGCATTAGTTCCAGTTGTGCCTTGTAAGCCATGACTGAACCAGGAAGAGCTGGTTCAAAGCTCTAGTTTTGAAACACGCTTCGACATGGATGAACTTTGAAAACTTATCCTGAGTGAAATAAATCAGTCACAAAATGACAAATATTGCCTAATCCCATGTAAGTGAAATATATAGGAACCAAAGTTTATTTGTGACAACCAAAAATGGAAGTGAGGAGGAGTGAGGAAGTTATTTCTTAAAGGGGCCTAAGTTTCTGTTAAGGGTGATGATAAAATTTGGAAACAGACAGTGGTGTGATGGTTACACAAAATGAGGAATGTAATTAATGCTATTGAATTGTAAATGTAAAAAGAAATGGTGAAATAGCAAATGTTTTATTATATATATTTATTATTATAATTAAAACAAAATACTATCCAGAGTTTGATCTGGAAGAAAAATCTTAAGAAATGAAATAATTTGGGACATGTCAAAGGAACATAAAAGCCAATTTGAAAGGGTCCCCAGTGGACATATCTGAGCTACAAAATAATGGTAACAGTGGGTTGTAATTCAGAATAAAGAAATATCCAAGACTCCCTACTGATATAAATAATAGAATCAGTAAATTAAGACAAGAGAAAATTCTTCCTTACAGTAGAACTCCACTTAGTAAATGTGGAAGTAGTAACAGAAACGCTTCACCATTTGGTAAAGTTGGCAGTAATTGTTGCTTCAGGTAGGACTCCTAATGAACATTAAAATTAATAGTTAAGGGAAAGCAGCTATTTATAATATTAAGACTCTCCTCATTGAATACTTGTAATACTCCTCACACTCCTCATAGAAAAACTGGAAAAGGTAATAAAACAGTGATTCTGGAAGGGACTTCCTTAACCAAGTGGTTAAAATGAACATCAGTGATAACATCATGTGCAGTCATGCACTTGAATTATGGTGTTGGTGAAGAATATTCAAAGTGCCCTGGAGTGCCAGAAGAACAAACAAATCTGTCTTGGAAGAGGTACATCTAGAATGCTCCTTAGAAGCTTGGTTGGCAAGATTTCATTTTTCATACTTCGGACATGTTATCAGGAGGGGCAAGTCCCTGGAGAAGAACATCATGCTTGGTAAAATGGAAAGTCATTGAAAAAGAGGAAGAGCCCCTAATGAGATGGACTGATACAATGGCAAAAATAACGGCTCAAATGTAGCAACAATTGTTTAAGGATGGTGCATGACAAGGCAGTGTTTCGTTCTGTAGTACATAAGGTCACTATGAGTCAGATCCTACTCAACAGCACCTAACAATAACAACAATAAAGAAATCCACTAGCAATCACTACTACTCCCTACTTCCCGCCCTCAACTCCTCACTCACCGACTCATCTAATCCGACTGCATTGATTAGTCTGTTCGGGACATTTCAGATAAATGGAATCTTACAATATTGGATTTTTGTGCTGGTTTCTTTCACTTAGTACAATGTTTTTAGTGTTTCTCCCTTGTTAAAGCACATATCAGAACTTTATTCCTTTGTATGGCTGACTAACATTACATTTCATGGATGTAACATATTTTATCTGTTCGTCAGTTGATGGAAATTTAGGTTGTTTACAGTTTGGGGTTATTATGAATAATACTACCTTGAACACTGATGTCCAATTGTTTTTTGTGGGCATATATTTTCAATTTTCTTAGGTATATGCTGCACCTAGGAGCAAAGTTGCTTGGTCAACTTCTTGGGAGAAAGGTGTATTCAAATCTTCACCTATTTCCTCACTGAGTTATTTGTCTTCTGTTCACTAAGTTGTGAGCGTTATTTATATATTCAGATACATATATACATCAGATACGTCTCGGTGAATAGCCGAGAATACCAGAAAAATGCTTAACTTGTGCTTTACTGACTATGCGAAGGCTTTAGACTGTGTGGATAATGACAAGCTATGGGAAACATTACAAAGAATGGGTACTGCAGAACATTTAAGTGTGCTCAAGAGAAACCTGTACATAGACCAAGGCAGTTGCTCACACAGAACAAGGGAATACGGAAGGGTTTAAAATCAGGAAAGGTGTGCATTAGGGTTGTATTCTTTCACCATACATATTCAATCTGTATGCTGAGCAAATAATACAAGAAACTGAATTATATGAAGAAGAACTCTGCATATCAGGACTGGAGGAAGATTCATTAACAACCTGTCATATGCAGATGATACAACCTTGCTTGCTAAAAGCGAAGAGGACTTAAAATATTGATGAAGATCAAAGACTACAGACTTTGGTATGGATTGCAATTCAATGTAAAAAAAAAAAAATCCTCACAACTGTACAATAAATAACATCACAATGGAGAAAAGATTAAAGTTGTCAAAGACTTAAAAAGGAGCAGCCAAGAAATCAAATATGTGCTGTATTGGACTAATCTTTACAGTGTTCAAGAGTAAAGATAACAATTTGAGAACTAAGGTACATCTTACTTAAGCCATGGTATTTTCAATGGCCTCATATGCGTGTTGGACAATGAATTTGAATAGTGGCTTTGTAGAATAATGAAGGTACCACAGACTGTCAGAAGAACAAACAGACCTGTTTTGGAAGAAGTACAGCTGGAGTGGTCTTTGGAAGCCAGGATGGACAGACTTCATCTCTCATACTTTGGACATATTGTCAGGAGGGAACAGTCACTGGAGAAGGGTATCATGTATGGTAAGGTGGAGGGTCAGAGAAGAAGAGGAAGACCCCCAAGCGAGATGGATTGGCAAAGTGTCAATATCAATGGGATCAAGTATGGCAACAATTGTAGGTTGGCCCAGGACCGGGCAGTGTTTCGTTCTGTTGTGCTTAGGGTTGCTATGAGTCGGTACCAACTCAATGGCACCTAACAGCAACAGCTGGGGTGCTCGTTAGAAGACGCCAGGATGGCGAGACTTCGTCTCTCATACTTCGGACATGTTAATCAGAGGAACCAGACCCTGGAGCAGGATATCACGCTTGATAAAGTGAAGGGTCATTGAAAAATAGGAATACTCCCAACAAGATGGACTGACACAGTGGCAGCAGTAATGCCGTCAAGTGTAACAATTGTGAGGATGGCGGCGCAGGACCGGGCAGTGGTTTGTTCTGTTGGACATACGGTCGCTATGAGTGGGTACCGATGGCAGCTAGAACAACATATTCTGGATTCAAGTCTCTCATTAGATACGTAATTGCAAAAATCTTCTCCTATTCTGGGGGGATCTTCTCACATTCATGATGGTGCTCTTTGAAACACAAAAGTTTTTCATTTTAATAAAACTCAATTTAACTTTTTTTTTTTTTTTTAAAGCTTGTACTTTTGTTTTCATGTCTAAGAAAACCACATATTTTACTATTTAATCTGTGTAGACACACAAGAGAATTCCAGTTAAGAATAGGTTGGAGAAGAAATGGTAAAAAAATTAAGAAACAAAATGATTGAGTACCCGAAATATAGAATCCAGTTTTTTGCAACAACAAAATGATACAGATAATATGAATAACAACATTGTTGTTGTTATTGTTATGTGCTGTGGAGTTGGTTCCGACTCATAGTTACCCTGTACAGGGTTTCCAAGGCTGTAAATCTTTATGGGAGCAGAGAGCCTCATCTTTCTCCTGCGGAACAGCTGGTAGTTTCGAACTGCTGACCCTGAAGTTAGAAGCAGAATTCCTAACCACTACGCTACCAGAACTCCTTGAATAATAACATCTTGTTGTTGTTGTTAAGTGCCGTCAAGTTGGTTCCGACCCATAGCGACCCTGAACAGGGTTTCCGAGGCTGTAAATCTTTACGGGAGCAGTAAGCCTCATCTTTCTCCTGCAGAGCAGCTGGTAGTTTCGAACTGCTGACCTTGCGGCTCGCAGTCCGATTCATAACCAGTACGCTACCAGAGCTCCTTGACTGACTAGTAAACGCAATAGTTACCGGCTCAAAGTCTGAATGTTCTTTCACTTAGCCAATGAAAAGTGAAAATCACTCAGGGAAAGAATATGTAAATACTTTCCAATCACTGAGTTAAGGTAAAAGTTAGTTGTTTTAAGATGTCTATGTACAAAATCATAAAAATTTGTAGATAATGAAGTAGAAGTGTAACTTTTCTGCTTCAATTAAAACACTTACCTGCTAAGCAGTTCCAGTCCAGCAGAGAACTTGGGCAAACATGGAACAGTCCTGCCAAAAGAAATATTGACTTTTATTAAAACTGTTTTGATTTCACAAGTGGAAAAAAAAAAACCAAAAACAAGTTACATAAAAGAATTCTAACATTGTCAATTATAATGAGATATTTTAAAATCAAAATGACAACTTAGCTAAACCATACAGTGTTTTATTTCAAAGCAAATATACTATCAGCAGTCATTTTGCTTTACTGAGACCTCATTTAGTATATAGTAAGCACTTTAATATGATGTTAGATACTAAGATGAGTACAGTGGCTCTGCAGAAAAACCACTGGACTTTGAACAAAGTTGGAGGTTTGCACCCACCAGTCACTCTATGGGAGAAAGATGAGGCTTTCTGCTCCTGCAAAGGTTTTTAGTCTAAGAAACTCTATACAGAGTTACTATGAGTTGAAACTGACTTAACAGCACCTAACAACATCAACCAGATATGAAGAATAAAATAAAAATTCAGCATCTCTAGACTGAAAGTAAAATTGGGTCACATGTACTTTTAAAAAATGAGCAAGTTTTCACTAATACCAATGTTTTCATATAAGACAGGTAACACAGCTAAAGCAGCTTACTTGCCAAGGTAATGTCTCAATTTCCTGTTCAGCAGTACAAGATTTTTACTTTGCTCTTAATAAACAAATTTTAAATGGTGGTTATTGTTAAGTGCCATCAAGATGGTGTGACTCATAGCGACCCTGCATAGGATGCGTTTCCAATGATCAGCTTCTGGGTTTGAACCACCAACCTATTGGTTAGCAGTCCAGTCCCACTTCAGGACTGCTTAAAATGGTAAATCAGTCACAGCTCACTACAATAAAAATGTTTTTAAAAATTATTAATCATGGTCAAGCAGGAGTCATCAATTCTCACAGAGTGAAACAAACTTCATTTTCTCAGAAAATCTCATTGCAAAATTTAAAATCAAGAAATTGCTTTGTACTCAGATGCACTTAAAAGATCTTAAACCCATGAAAAAACAGAAGACCTATGCAAAGATAACTACAAAACACTATTATAGGAAACCAAAGCGGTTTATAAAAATTGAAGAGTTTGTCATACTCATGGATAGGAGACTTAGCATTGTGAAAATGTCAGTACTACCACCCAAAACAATCTACGGATATAATGCAATCCCAATCCAGATTCCAGCAATATTGTTTAAAGATATGGGGGAAAAAATCAGGAACTTTAAATGGAAGGGAAAGAAACCTCAAATAAGCAAAGGGCACTGCTTAAGAAGAACAAAGTGGGAAGCGTCTCACTTTGTATTGGTAAAATGAAATATATATAGATCAAAGCAACAGAATTGAAAACGCAGAAGCAAATCCATCCACAAGATCTATGACAAAGGGCCAAAATACATTAAATGGGACAGAGACAGTCTTCAACAAATTGGTACTGGCAAATGTGGAAATCAATTTGCAAAAGAATGAAACAAGACCCACATCTCTCACTATACACAAAAATTAACTCAATATTAAGTAAAGATCTGAATGTAAATCCCAAAGCTATAAATATCATCAATGAAAAAAATAGAGACAAACTTAAGGGTTCTAATACATGGTACACACAGACTATCAAACATGGCAAAAAACACACAAATAGATGACAAAATAGATGACGTGAACATACTAAAAATTTGAAACTTATGTGCATCAAAAGATTTCACTCAGAGTGAAAAGGGAGCCTACAGACCGGGAAAAATTTTTTTTCGCAACATATCACACAAGGGACTAATCTCTAAAATTTATATGACACTACAAGACATCTACAAAAGAAAAAAACTCAGTTTAAAAATGGGCACAGGACAAGAACAGACAGACATTCCACCAACGAAGGCATTAGGGAATCAAACAAACATATGAAGACATGTTTATGATCATTAGATGCAAATCAAAACAACAATGAAATGTTATCTCACATCAGCAATAACAGAGTGAAGTTCAAAAAAGTAGAGGACAACAAATGCTGGTGAGCGTGTGGAGACTGGGCCCCTCCTACATTACTGGTGGCACTGGAAAATGATTCAACCACTCTGGAAAATGGTATGGCACTTTCTCAAAAATTGGAAATAGCAATACCTTATGATCTAGTAATCCCTCTACTAGATACATATGCACACCAATGTTCATTGCAGCACTATTTACAATAGCAAAAAGATGGAGACAGCCTATGTGACCCTCAAGGGAAGAATGGATAAACAAACTTTGGTATATACACATAATGGAATGCTAAGAAACGTTGAAGAATACAGATGAATCTGCGAAAACACCTCATAACATGGATGAACCTTGAGGACATAATGCTGAGTGAAATTAGGCATAAAAGGACAAATATTGCATATGACCATTGTGAAAACTTAAAGAGAAGATTCCTATACTAAAAGAATTAAATCTTTGATGGTTAACAGGAAAGGGAGGGAGAGGACAGTAACTCAAAGGTTAGGGAGTAGACACATTAATAGCTTGTGCAATGGGGAGGGCAATAAAAAGGATGGGGAGGGCAGTGCACAAGAAGGAAAGAGGGGGATAGATGAACGGGAATGATAGGGGAGGATTTAAGGAGGTGTGGGTGGACTAAATGGGATAGAGGTAGATTGTGGTGTATGCACAGCCTTGGAACAACAGGCTCTGTGATATAGGGATCGAGACACAGTCTGCATGAATAAAGGATGGGATATAATGTTAAAGGTGCTTAACTGTCTTTTTTCCCCTGCCTTCTGTTGTACAACAGACATTTAAGTGGGATAGAAAAGAATATTGAGAAATATGATTATACAATGTTTGTAAACCTGTCTTCAGCCTATAACTGACTGGATTAGCTCCAAGAGGAATTAGAACTTGCCCAGGGAAGTAGGCTTCTTGTTAAGCCTTTGCGGAATCAATGAGGCCTTAGGTGGAATCCTGAGCCCCACCCAGTACCTTTGGAGGTGGAGGTGGAATATTCCCACGTGAAAAGACATGCAGAGCACCTTGAAATGGCTAGAGAAACAGAAGATACTTCTTGAAAGGCCATCAAAAGGC